TAAGCTCCTTTTTCACGATAACTACTATGATCTTTTTTATTGAAATAATTTATATTTTACTCCGACTCCACTTGTCCATCTTTAGCTGGAAGATTTTCTTTATCTATATATGGCATGTAATGATGAACAATTACTTCTATTAATGAAGGATACAATATTTTATCCATGTACATTGGATATAGCCAGAAAACTTTCTCTATCTTAAATAACAGTAAAAAAGGCACTAAGAACATCAGCATTGATAAATCTCCGAAAATTACTTATATGAATTAGATAAACATGAAAAAAAATATTTTGTATATTTGTGTTGATATGAGAATCTCTTCACCCATATCCATCTCCAACACCTCAGATACTCTTCTTTTTGCAACATGACACTCCACTTACTTTCAAATATTGACTCTACTCTTATCGTGATATATAAGATCATGGGAGTTGATACAAAATAAAAAAGAACATCGATGACAACGAAACTATAGAATAACTCATTTTTCTCGTCCTTTTATCAAACGATAAAGCATAAAACTTTTGTTTTTAGTAAACTCATTTAAGTCTGTTACGACAGGCAAAAGAATTATTTTCAACAGTGCAACTAGCAATGGTTCTAATTGCCCAGATCGACAATCGATAGAAAACTCGCTCAAAAACGTTCATGTTCCAGGTGCTGCAATCGTTGTAGTGAACGCCACTCACACACTCTTTGAACAAGCCTTTGGCTACCAGTCTCTATCACCGCAGTAACCTATGGACATTGACAAATCCATTTTCCCTCTTGCTTTGATCTCGAAAACATTCATTACTGCTGTTGTTATGCAACTTGTTGAGCAGGAGCTTGTCGACCTTGATACCGACGTTAACCAATATTTATCAGAACATCCAAAAAACGTATCTTCCATTCACGATATCCTTTACATTCGATCGCTTTACACAAGTTACTTTCGCACTCGACATCGATCTATATAAGTCCTCAAATGCAAAATACCTAATACCGATCTGGTGACAATGCATTCAATGAATTGTTGGCTGGCATGTGTTTCAAATATGTGAACCCGAATGCACCGTACTGGTTGCCAAAACCGCCAGGTACTGTGGCATCGTATTCAAATGAAGGCTCGTCTCTAGCTGCATTGGTTGTTGAACGAGTTTCCAATATGTCTTACATTGATTATGTCAAAGAAAAAATATTAAAACCGTTGGGTATCGGATATTGCCAAAGTTGACGTACATTTGTCTGATTTTGCAAATATAGAAGATTTTGTCAAACATTATTCCTATGCATTCAATGCATCTTATATCGAAGGATGGCATCAAATGATACCACAATTGAATATTACACAACTACCGGTAAACAGATCAGCATGATTAAGAGAGTTGACGTTGATTAATTTCTGTTTAGGGCAATCTTCCTACTTGGCTTTATATTTCACATTTTGATTTCAGCGCCTATCCAGCTGGTCTCTTACGCATGTCAGCTCGTACTCTATCCATATATCTTGGCATGTTTCTCAGCAATGGATCTTCTGTTCTTCGTCCACGATCGATTCCCGAAATTCGAACAGTGGTCGGTGATGGTCTCATACCAATCTACAACCAGCAATCAAGCGGTAATTCTACGGGACAACAAGCACTATCAGAGTGTGGGTGTGGGTGTGGGTGTGGGTGTGGGGTATGGGTGTGGAGGTGGGGGTGGGGTGAGTCTTTATCTGCCTACACCTCACCCACCAGGCCCCAATTTTTTCCTCTACAAATTTTCGATTTGTTAAAAAAGTCACGATGAACCCTACGAAAACTCGTCAGAAGAATCGGACATTTATGATTTGATGTATATAGTTTCATCGTCTCTTTCAAAGGGTGAAAACTGCAGCTCTCTGCCTAGTTTCTATCAAAAGCTATTAAAAAAAATAGTCTTATTATTTCTGTTTTGAAATGGGTATTAGTGAGGCTTTCCTCTTTACTGTGTCCTCGTAAAATTAAATTACTTTTCACAGAAAATATCAATTGCAAAAAAACAGAAGGATTAGAAAAATTAAAAACACAATAACGACAATCATTGCCATCACACAGAGTGTAATTGAATATTTTCAAGGTTATTGCTCTCAGCCGATCTTGTGATACGTGCGTTCCAAACAGCCTATATAAGTAACTTCAGTTTTCACGACTATTTAATCCTGACATAAACAGCAATAACACAATTCAGCGATGTTATTAGTCGCAGCGATTCTCGTCGTTTTTGCTACCAGTGCCTATGGGCAACATCAATTGATTATTCGGGAAAATGGAAAATTGTGTAGTGAATGGATAGCGATAACGGGNTCTTTGAATGTACTATCCATTTATGCTATTTGAAAAAGTTGAAAGTCAAAGCCGCCCACTAGGCAGTAGGGTTTTGGGGGCGAATTTTCAATTTTTTCTATATTTGTGGACGGTTTCCTGAGAAAATTAAGGATTCCGATCAGGGAAAAACCTTATATTTGAGTTTTTCTAAATATAAGCTATAACAAAGACGTATTTGCTTCGTTGCCCAGTGAGTTTGAAAATTCTGAAAATTCCAGCAGAAATTCCATGGAAAATTGGCCGATCCTAAAGGTGCTGGGGCAAAGTTGAAATACCATTTCTTTGCTAATTCCGTTCGAATAGATCATAAATACATGCTTTTCTGCTCACCGGAATCCTTAATTTTCTCAGGAAACCGTCCACAAATATAGAAAAAATTGAAAATCCGCCCCCAAAACCCTACTGCCTAGTGGGCGGCTTTGACTTTCAACTTTTTCAAATAGCATAATTGGATAGTACATTCAAAGATGATTCTAACACATATAAAAGTGATAATTAAATCTTGTGTCTTGTCTGAGAAATGAAGGCTCCAAAATCACGAAAAATTTGACTTTTCTAGGAGACTTTTCACTACAAAGACAACATCGGAGAAAAAAGTTTCCGCTGAATAAAATGATCCTCTCAATAGCTAGTATCTACTCTGAAAGTTGTAGCTTTCTATCATATAAAATAGAAAAATCCTTGAAATCGACTTTTGGCCGGGAATGCTTCTGGAGTTGGTGGTCGGAAACCACAACCCATCATTTTCGAACTTTTTGAAGGTTATTTCTGAGATCAGGATATCAAGTTCTACTAGTTCAGAAAGTTTTATCTCATTCGGATGAGGTCGATGTATAGTCTGGTACATTCTCGAAAGAATTACCCAGCTGAAAGCAAATTTTTTATTAAAATTTGCACTCTGGAATCAGGTCATATACTGCTTTTTCGAAATGATTTATGACTTCTGTTACACTGATATTACATTTACATATATTTACTATTAAGATATTGCGTTTGTTTTTTTCATTTTTTCTCATTCTATGCTTTGTTCTTCTTGTGTTTCTGTCATCTAACTATATATGTAAAACATTTATTTCATTTTTATGTTACTTCTGAAATAAAAATTCTTTTTAACAAAGTCATAACTATTTTAGAGGCAATCAACATTTGGCAGACATACTTCTTGACTAGAACTGCCGGCAGGCCAAACCAAGCCGATTGATGTTTCTAATTTCGTGAATACGTTTAATTTTACAACTCTACATTAATGTATCATTCTAATGTTCGCGCCAGAATGAAGTGTTGGTTAGTGCAAGATGAACATCTCGAGAAAAACAATAGCTAGCTATCTGTGATTTTTACCAATCGAAAGAGTCTGAGTTAGGACATAATTTAATATAGTATTATGAAAGATGAAATCATTACTTAACTAATCGTGTTTTGAGAATCTCTCTGAAAAATGATTATCTTCCCATAGTCTAACGTCGAGCAAATGAATTTGGCTATTTACATGCCAAAATCATGGAGAACTGCGTTGATCTTTAATCGAATTTCCTTACTTTTTGTCAATTTTTTATCGAAACAAAAAGCCATTTTGATAAAATGTTAAAAAAACTTGGTTAAAAATCAACACAGTTCCCTATGATTACGATATGCAAATAGCCAAATTCATTTGCTCGACGTATCCTGAACTATAGAGTTGAAGTCCCTCTATCTACTATACATATCAGAATGAAAATTTCATTGGAACTACATTGCATTATTATATACTTTTCAGAGAGATTCCAAAAAACAGATTAATTAAGTAATAATTTCACCTTTCATAATACTATATCAAAGCATGTCCTAATTCAGCCTCTTTCGATTGGTGAAAACTGCAGATTGCTAGCTATTGCCGTTCTCAAGATATTCATCTTGCACCAACCCACACTTAATTCTGGCGCCCAACAATTTTTTTAGAGGCGAACGAAGATGTGATCATCACATCCGTAAAAATTTCTTTTTCTCCGCCATAATTGTCTCAGTCTCCTGATATTTTACCGTCTCCATTATGATAAAATGTAATTCGAATTCTGTCCTTGTGAATAAAAAAACAACTAAGGATTTACCTATGTGAATCATATTAACTGTCTACTTAACGTTTTTTTTTTTCATCCTGTAACGTATCGTATTTTTTCACGGAATGTATAGAAACGAGCGAAGAAAAAAATGCCGAAATAAAAAAACGTCAACAAAAAGAAAAATTGAACGATATTTATGTTTAAAATATATTAGCACACAAAGTTTAGATTATTCAAATGTAAATAACTTTATTAATATATGAAAGAGGGAATAAAATATTGAAGTAGGTATAATGTTTAATATTCTTTTCACCTAGTCGTTTACTTACATTCACGATACACATGCATAGTACATAATTCAATAGTAAGTAATCTATGTATGATATCTTCTAACTTTTCAATATATTTATACAGTCAAGATTCATATGGTTCTATATGTTTTTTTTTTCATATCGGTGCTCTTGTCTTCACATGTGTTTTTCTTTTCGATTGCTTTATGCCGTTCTTTTTTACATTATGATTTTTTTCATAAATATAAGTATGTATGTATAATCAAGGTTTCTTTCATTCTATACTTACCTATCGACAGAATAAATCCTATGTGTAATATATATTATATTTGACAAAATGATATCATTTTTGGAAGTTTTACCAACAGAAATATTATTCGAAATATTTGATTATTTAACAGCATTTGATATATTATATGCATTGATTAATTTAAATAGACGAATAAATCATATTGTTGAATTATATCCATTACAATTAGATTTTCAACAAATTTCACGATTAAAATTTGATTTTATTTGTCGATATATGCAACCGAAACAAATTATTTCAATTTATTTTTCTGATGAATTTATGCCAGATCAAGTTAAACTTTTTAATAAATATTTTCCTGATTTTCATGATCGATTTATTTATTTAAAAAAAATTAAATTCATTAATACATCAACTATTTTATCGAATCTTTCTATTAATGTTTCTTCTCTTTCAATTAAAACTTATTTAAAAACAAATAATACTGATTATTTCATCTCGAAAATTCTCAATCAACAAGCTCAATATTTAACTTTTTTAAAAGTCGATGGATCTTATGTATTTCGATCAATTAATACATCATTTCCATTACTTAAACATTTAATAATTGATTATTGTACGATTACAGAATTTCATCGAATTCTTCATTATTTTAAATCTTCATTGACACATTTAAATATTTTTCTCGATAGAGAAGACAATTTGACAATACTTAATTTTGAACATTTATCGAATAGTCTAATATATTTAAAAATAAATTTTTCTCAAGGTAATATAATAATTAAATTGTATTTTAATTTTTTTTTATTTCTTTGTAGAAATTCTTATATCATTTGAATTAATTAAACAATATCTTCAACAATTAATAAAATTAAAATATTTAACAATAGAAGCAACAGGTACATTAGATTTAATGAATGGTCAATTATGGGAAGAATATTTATTTGAAAGAGAAATAAAAAAATTTAATTTTAAATTTACACTTTCAAATAATTTTATTTGTCATCAAGATCAAAATACTTTACTTCAATCATTTTGTTCATCATTTTGGATTGAAAAACAGCATTGGTATGTTGCATGTGAAAAAGGAGAATTTAAATCTAGTCGTCCAATAATTTATTCTATACCTTATTTTCAACCATCACTTATCTTTTATTCATTAAATAATAATTTACCTGTAACAACAACTAACAAAGATATTATTTTTAAATATGTAAATCATCTTATTTTAACATTTTATAAAACAATAATATTACCAAATTCATTATTTACTAATGTTTATTCTTTGACATTATTAACGTCAAATTTACCATCAATTGATATTCTTCAATCAATTGTTAATCTTAAACAAATACGAGATTTAGATGTATCATTAATAGAAAATATTTCAATTGATGAATTTTATATTCTAATTGATTGTATGATTAATTTAAAAAATATTAAAATGCAATATAATCCATTATTTATTCCACCATTACATATTCATTCTTATACATTAATTCCAAACGATGAAGAAACATTTGTTATTGATAAAAATAATATAAAAAAATTTTCTTATTTATTTTTTCATATTAAAAATCTTGAAATAACAATTCAATCAAAAGATATTATTATACAATTACTTAATCAACTTCATTATTTAGAACGAATTAAAATTTTTTGTTATCAAGATTATTTATTAAATATTAAATATAATTGGTTTCAACAAAATATTCCTAGATTTAATAGAATTAATTTTACTTATCGAATAACATCTAGTTCTCTTTTTTTATCAATTGGAAATACTAAAGTAAGTTTATTTAACATGAAAATAAAACCTTCGATAAATTTCTACGATATTATATGTTGATTCAGAATATTAGCTTGAAAAAATTCCCTTATATTGTTTAGAATATAGAGAATATTAAATTCCTTAGAAATTAGTCTTTTTTTTTTGTTGCAACTAGAGATTTTTTGCAGATAGTACGGTCATGCTAATTTATACATATCAACTTTTCACTGGAAAAATCTTCAAAATGATATTATTTCGCTTAAAATTCAATATGTTTTATAATTTGAGTAGATCATAAATGATTTTGATAACATTTTTGTTGGTCTAGAAAATCAGCATATGAAGATCTAAGGAGATTTTTTTATGGTTATATTCGGAATCAGCATGTTTGATCACTACGGTTTAGAAAATCCTGCTAAAAAGCTTCAAATGAAATATCAATTATACGGAATAAAGTAGACTGATTCTTATATGTATAGATGAAGAAATATAATCTCTAATTTTGAATTCATTTCCTAGATTGAGAAATACATATAATTTTTCGGTCGAAAATTCAGACGTCAGAATCATTAAAACCGAGGTTCGATGAGGATTGCTTTATTCTATCTATTTTTGAATACGTCGTTATGGATATACGGTCTGTGATGAAGGAGAGACATTACTAAGGATATTAATCACGTCTGTGGAACAGGGGGAAGTGTACTCAAATCTCTAATTCTATAATCCTTTTAGATCGTGCTTCGCAAAAGTTCGATGTAAAATCAATGCACAAATATGTTTGATAGAGTAAAACGCGATGTTAAGAGATAATTTTTTTGTATCTTTAAATTGTTATTAGAGTGTTTAGCGTTTCAGTTTATTCAAACAAAAGATATAAAGCAAGTTCTTTTGTTTTTACAAAAAAAACTTTCTAATTACGAAGTAGAATGATTTTAATTAGCGTTGAGAGATGTATATATTCTTATTTCTTTTTCTAGCATGTTGATGATGAAACAATAGTGACAAATATCAAACGTAAAACTGTTAAATGTAGTTGGCACAAATCTTGTTCAGGATGTCAACTTCAATAACACAATGAGTTTTTTTTTTTTTGTGTGTGTAGAATTGATTTTTATTTATTATAATGTATATAATTATTTATTTTAGAAATTTGTTGGTAAACATAATTTTTTTTTTATTAGAAAAGATAAAGATGACAAAATATATTGTATTTACATATGAGTATTATTTTACTATTCGAAAAATTTTGCTTGAATTTGTTAACTATTCAAAACTGTAATAATAATAGTCTTTTACTAACAAATCAACTAAAAGAATATTTACTTGTCTAATGATCTAATTAATTATTTTTATCATAAGGATAAGTATTTTAAAATAATTACGAACAATAAAGGATTGAATATATTTAAATGAAAAGATGATAATTTAAATAAACATGAAATATTCATATCAAAATCAAAAAATTCTATTTGCTTCGTTTGTTTACTCATTGAGAAAATTCGAAGTTATATTGTTCATAAAAAAATCTCATTGTTAAACACAAGAAAAATAAAAACATCAAATGCAGATCTCATTTTCTTCGTTTGATGAAGAATTATCATTAATTTAAGTTACTATTTATAAGACAAAATATGTTTCATGATTGACCTTATAAAAATTTTCATAACGCCGTTCATCGGTTTCATTTAAATAAATGAGTAGATATTCGTTTTGATCTTTATGAAGATTCATTAAATCTATGGCATTATGACAAACACATAACTGATGAACAACCGTTGGATGCAATTAAAAGCTTTTCAGTTCCCAAGCTCTTTAACACCTGAAGAAGTTTGCTCATGAGATATTGCATTTTGACCAGAATTTCTCTACAATAATTCAGTTTTTTATTAAAATCAAACTTTTCTACTTTGATCTGAAACCTTGTTCATATTCAAGCTTCAACCTAACTGCTTATGTACAAAGTTTCAGAATCTTTACACGATCTCTTTCAGATATCAGTATTACAGTATAAAAATACTTTTCCATCGATTTTCGTATGACACATGAACATACAAAGAAATTCATATTTTGAACAGTATTTTATTTTATTTTTGGAAATTTAGCGACAAACGAGTGTTGATTTTGGTCTTCTTTGACGACCAAACTAAATAAAACCAAGGCAGCTTTTACACTTTAGAACCCCAACTAATCAAATTTCTCACTCTCACCCACACTTTCGTGTTTGTGCTGAGACCAATCAGATGTGCCTGAGGTTCTAAAGTGTAAGAGGACCTGACTTTTTACTCGAAATTATTCAATCTCAAAATCAAAGTAAATTACAATTTTATTTGATATGTATGTATGTTTTATTGATCATGTTAATAAAACTTTGTATGATCATTTAAGAGAGGGTCCGCGAGACCACCAAACAAGCCGGCCGCCGACAAAATTTTGATTTTTGATTTAGGTATCTCAATGGAAGGTCTAGTCAAACCATAGACAAATCCAAAATATTAGCTCTTTCTGACTTCCCTATGAAAAATGGCATAGTATACAAGTGATACACCCTTCGGAACCTGGAAAAAAGGCAGACTTTTAGGATGACTTTAGTATTTTACACTTTTCTCTGCATCTGCTCATTTATTCGAGTTCGGGCACGTCTCAAAAGATGCAGAAATATTTTTTTCTACAAAATTTGATAATTGCTTATGTTCTACAATGCCATTTATCAAGTGATAATTCCAATATACGAGCAAAAAGGACTATTAGCTAAAATCACAATCTTCTAGTATTTTGACTCTAGCCACGCTGGATCATGCCATCCCAAAATGATTTATATATTTTCTGAAAGTCCTTAAAATTCTGCATCGTATAAGGTAATACTCTAAAAGACTAAAACACCGGCGAAAAAAGTTTGTCCATGGCACAAACGTCAGGGAGTGATGACCATCTCTATTAATTCTGCCCTCTAACTAGGATATTAAATTATTCTTGCCCATCGGAATACAAAATGTAACTTCATATTCGTAATCTGCATGAAAAACTGAATATGAATATGTTATTTGGTTGAAGGTAAAGTTAATCAGGGTAAAAATTTGCTACCGAATACAGATAACTGGAGTATATCTCAAAGCATATATTTATAGGCTTCTTTGTAAGCCTATCTAGTTTTTCATGAGCAAATGTGAAAACGATTTTTATATCTTATTTAGGATTACTGGACTCTTACCTTCAAAATTATCTATGCAGCTTCTTTAAATTGCTATTTATTTTTTGAGCAAATTCGATTGCCTTCAATGTTTATCGGAAAAGCATAACAACACCCTAAAAATTGTGTACATACCTCACAGCTTTTATTGTAATAGATTATTCTAATACCTAAATGAATAGCATATTCAAAATCAGCGTGAAAAACTACGTCGAATAACATATATTTTGGAAACACTCTTTTTTCATCAAAAATCGCCCCTGTGGTCCCCCTCAGGGCTATTTTTCTCAAACTTCGTCCGTAGTCCCCTAGATTGATGTGAAGCTACCACAAACACCAATCCAAAACTGTAAAACCTATCAATCCTTCTCCAAACAATCAAAATAGATAAGTTTTAACCACATCTCATCCGGAAAACCTTTCCACAAGAAAAAAATTAATAAAAAATTATTAATAATCAGTATTCTGGGGGTCATACTCAATAAATCGGGTTTTTTGGCTGTCGGAAGGTTTGCCAGAAGATTTGTGATACTTCATTTGATTCAGCTAGATCGGGGCTATCGATTCCACTTCTCGTTCTCTCCCAGCAAACATTTCCCATACCAAAAAACTTATTAAAAAATATTAATAATTAATAATTTCCTGCTCTTGGTACTAATTACATCCGATCTGCAGAGTCTCAGAAGGTTTGCCGAGAGCTATATGATACAACATCTGATTCAGCGTGAGAAGGGCTATCGATTCCCCAACTCATTATCCTCCGGCAAACCTTCCCATAACACAAAAAAATTAATAAAAATTATTAAAAATTAATAATTTCTTGGTAGTCTTGGTCATGAAATCGGCTATCCTGAGTCTCAGAAGGCTTGTCGGGGCAAACGTGACACATCATTGGATGCCGCTTGAGAAGGCCTATCGATTCCACAACTCGTTCTCTCCCGGCAAACCTTCCCATAACACAAAAAAATAATAAAGATTATTAAACATTAATAATTTTGTGGTGCAGATAATGATGAAATTGGGTTTCTAGAGTCTCAAAATGTTGCCGGGAGAGAATGAGAGGTGGAATTGTTACGCCTGATCACGCGGAATCAAATGATGTATCATACATATTTCGGCAAACATTCTGAGACTCAAAAACTCCGATGTATTGCGTAGCACCACCACCACAACACTAATTATTAGTATTTGTTATTAATTGTTTTTGTTGTGGAAAGGTTTGCAGGGAGAGAATGAGAGGTACAATCGATACGCCTGATCACACTGAATCTAATGATGTATCACACATATTTCGGCGAACCTTCTGAGACTCAAGAGACCCGATGTATTGAGTACCACCACCACCACAACTCTAATTATTAATTCTTTTTTTCTTAATTTTTTTGTTGTGGAAAGGTTTGCCGGGAGAGAAGAAAAGGTGAAATCGATAGCCCTACTCAAGTTTAATCCAACGATGTATCACACATATCCCGGCAGACCTTCTGAGACTCAAAAAATCCGATGTATTGAGTACCACCACCACCACAATAGTAATTATTTATATTTTTTATTAATTTTTTTGTTGTGGAATGGTTTGTGGAGATTTGGCCTGGATTAGCTGTTTGTGGAAGTGTTGAAAACTTGTGGAAGGCGGTGAAGTGATGTGCTTCAAAATTGGTATTTCCGGCTAGGTGCGCCCTCTGCCGAATTTTTTGATTGGTTCCAGTGAGACAACCAATGAAGTGGTCACCACGATCGTGGTGACGGTGACGGATCGTGTTGTGGTTTTGGTAGCTTCACATCAATTTGGTTTTCCTATGTTTCTTCGATAAGTAAAACTAAGAGATTTTTGCTCATTTTTATCGATTTTCATTGTTTAAATGTTCGATAAAAACGAATGTCAAAAGTTCGAGTTGATTAATTTCTAGTTGAAATCTACACAGAAGCTAACAATATTGAGATAATGATTGACAGCGTTGAATGATTGCTTTCGAAAAATATTTAATGTATTGATCAGTTCCTCACTGACCATAAGAAAGTGTTGATAATAATCAGCTGCTAAGATAATGTTGTATTTGCATAACTAGCACAATAATTTTCTTCTTATCTGAAAGTATTGTTAGATGATACTCTGATGAAGCTTTCACAAAAAATATATAACGACTTAGAACAAGAAATCGACAAATCTAAAGTCAATTTCAAAATGATGTATTTACACTTTATTTTATTCTCCCATTAACTTTTTCACGGCCACTAAAAGTAAATATGCATAAGAGTTTCAAGCACGTTAAACAATCATTTCAAATAATAAACATGAAATTTGTCAGTTATTGTTAACAAAAAAAAAAAGAATATATTGTTCTAAATGATCTATTATAATGTAGTAGATAAATATTTTTCAACGCGCTTTTATTTGATTTTTAGTATTACCGTTCATGGAATGTCATCGAATAAATAAACGATTTGACTTAATATTTTATTTGAACTCTATTGAAAACAAAAAATAGTTTTTGAACAAATTTGTTTACTAGTTTACATATTAATCGGAGAAGTTTATCATCGATTGAATTCTCTTATTGAACCAATTGATTAAGTCAAGAATTTCAATCGGTTTTAAGTCTCATGCGTTTATTAATCCTTATTTTTCCAATAGTATTTATAATTGTCATTTTTTAACTATTCAGTCTCTTGAACTATAAAACATATAGAAACTAATTTTATATCACATTCAGGTATCTCTATTGCAGAGTTTATAACAATTATCCGTTCGTAAAATTCTTCGTAAAACTTTTATTTGTTTCTCAGACAAATATAACATATTAGAGCATGTGCTCGAATCATGTTATTGAAGAATGTTAACGTTTAATTGATGCAACAGATCACTATTGAGTTTCTCCTTTATTCAAATGGCTGAACAATATCAGAAGAAGAGAATGTGTCGAAAATAACTAAAGATAGAGGAGACGATACGTACATGCACATCGTATTTGCTATCTATGCTGCATAGTAAAAGCGAAAACCGAAAGAAAGAAATATTTAACGTGAGTGAATCATTCTTTAAAAAAGAAAAAGAAATAAGTTTGCTACAATGTAGTGTCATTCTGCGGAGTATATCGTTTTTGTTTGTTCTATAATTGCATGTTGATCAATGGTGTGAATGTGGGTGAATGCATTCTCTTCATTCATACTCAACCACGCTTATATCTACACCCACATGCATAACCTCAACAAATTAACTATATTAGGACTTAATCGATGAGATTCAAATTTTTTACGTGCATTTTAGAGACCAATATGATCACAATCTTGGATGAATTTCAGTTGCAGACCTTAGACTTTGATTAGGGGAACGAAGGAGTTGAATTAATAAATTTTTTTAATAAAAAAAAAACTAAATGTAATCATTAAATTGAATTTATTGAATTAAAATATTGTTGAAATAAATAAATTAATCGAGAGAATTAAATAAAACAATTATTGATAAATATTTTAATTCGATAAATAAACAGAAAAAAGAATTGTTTTGTTTAAATAAGATTTTCTGAAGAAAGAAAAAAATTAAATAAATTAAATTGATTAGTGTTCAGAAGCAAAATTTAATAAAAGTATTTTTTTTTTATCGAACTATTTTCATTATATTTATTTCACTTAAATTAATAACTACGTTCAGTAAATCGATAAGGTTTTGTACAAGTAATATTTTTGGAAGAAAAAAACTCAATCGAAGATTTCCAGTTCGTCCCTACCATGTCTTCATTATAGACCTAAAGCAATGGAATTCAGCTCTCCCAACAACATTTATAACAAGATATAAAAAGTTCTTGAATATTCAACAAATATCATTGACATTAAAATGGCTTTAATTCCTTTTTCAATATTCTAAAGAAGGCAGTTTGACATTTTTGTACAGATAATCATTTCTATTTAAGATGTTAGCCATTATGAATTTACGTTAAATATGAGTATTTGGCAGCTTATATAGATATTTAATAGTATGTTAAGATCCGTTGATCAATATCTAATGTATATCTCAAAGAAATCTATTTGCTATTTAATTCAATGTTTATTGTAATAAGAAAGTTAAATAAAGAAACACAAAATCCGAAATAGAAAAACAATGATCGAATATGAGCAATACAAATGAAAAAGTAGGATGCTCCTTAAAAAAGAAAAGGAAAGAATATTTGTGTTCGAAATGTCAAACTAAAAAAAACTGAAGTCTTTCTCTGACAATCTATCATCATTGGAAAATAGCAATCATTTGTTACAGATTATACACATTGATGACTTTCTATTAATATAATCAATTTAGTTAAGACATATGAATTCAACGTTCAACTCCCAAAAAAAAACTACATTAACAATCTTTTTCTCATATTATTTCTTGAATAAATAAGTAAAATAACATCATATTACGATAATCTTCCATTTATTTTTAGAATTTGTCTTATTTTTTGACCCATCGTTTGCTTTTTTTTTACTTAGTAACTATTTCTATTCTGTTACAGTTCAAGGTTATTTGAGTTAATAAGTATAAATAAAATATAAATGATGATTAAACAGTAAAAAAAAGAAGAGAAAAGATATTATTTGAATAGATAAAAACAAAAAGAAAAAGAAAAAGAAATGATCTATGTAAATATCATGTATTGTATCAAATTTTTACTAAAATAATATATCGATTACAAGAAAAAAAAATGTAAAATATGTGTATAAATGACGATATTCGTTACGGTTGATTGAAAATGTAGACGTCATAGATAACCTATATATACAATGAAGATTTTCTTCAATGAGAAGCGAATTAATATCAAATATTTCTACATTAAAAAAATAAAAATGGGTGAACAACAAAGAATTGAAAATCAATTTAATCGTGCTGATTTAAATCATGATGGATCAATTGATGAACAAGAATTTCGATTATTTCTTGGACCAATTCAAGATGGAAGAAGATTATCTGGAAATATTAATTATCAAGATATTCAACAAAATGTAAGTTTTATTCTCTTATTTAAATATTCTTTCATAAATAATTTTCAATACTATATAGCTTCAATTATCTAATGCAAGTCAAACAATAATATATCCAGTTGGTCTTGATGTAGCTCTTGCTGGTTTTACATCAAATCCAATAAATTATGAAAGATATGCAGGAGGTATTTCTTCACCAGAAGCTCATATATATGGTGTTGGTCCTGATGTTGGTATTGGTGCACCAAATGTTGCTAGAAGAAGTATTCAATATGATCCAGCTGGTGCTATGTTTGATTATGCTGATTTCAATCATGATGGAAGAATTGATAAATCAGAATTTGGAACATTTATGCGTTCAATGTAAATTTATAATTTTTTTTTTCTAATTAATTCTGCGCTTCGTTTTTTTTTTTTTATTTCATTGCTTTAATTGGAATTTATTTTCTCTTAATTAACATCTATATTTCATATTTTATATATTTTGTTTTTAATAGAAGAAAATAAATTTTTTCCTTTGCATATCAATTGAATTTACACATTGAATTTTATGCAAAAATAATATTTAACTATCTGACGAACAAAAACAAAAAAAATAATGCCAAATTGTTTTATTTTCATTGTTTGTAAACAGAAGTTTGGTTTTCTTAAGTAATAAATCTCTATTAGATTTGAATGTATTTGTATAATGTTGCATACAAAACTAGATTTAGTTTTTTGTTAATTTCAGACCAAACATATTAAACCTAAAGTTGAAATAACTCTTGCTTGAAGATCATATTTTATAGACATATATCANAGCTTTTCCAAGTAGAGCTACAGCAGCCACCGACAAAGTTAAACCGGCGGTCACATCGGCCAGATTCAATCGATTTGGATAACTAGGGAATGCTGGATTGTTTTCCAGTGCAACAGCAGCCAATCCCATCGTGGTAGCAGCAAGAAATGGGACAGCAAACCATGAAATACCACCAAGAATGTAGCCAGGTAGAGCAGAAACAGGTGAAGCAGCAATCGCCTTATTATAGTACCCATTATCAAGAAAGACAGTTCCAAAATTTCCAATAATATTAATAATAAAAAATATTGCTCCTTGCTGTGATCGCATAGTCAAATAAGAACCTTCTGCATTGCCTTCAATTGGATGTATTCGACTGGCATTGACCAGCAAGTCATAGACTATCGATGGTGAACCCAGTAATGACGATGTTGCATAGGTAGAAAATGCAAAATAGAGAATGATAATGAGAACAACTACAGTATGTGCATAATCTGTAAGAAAAGTAGCCTTAATTCCTCCAAACATTGTATAAATAATTGTCCCTAATGGTAAAAGAAAACATGCAGCAGCAATATGCATTCCGCTAAGAGAATGAACAACAGCCGAACCACCTGTTAATAGCATTGATGTAACGAGAATATTTGTGCATAAACAAAAGATAATATAAATCATATGAACTATTGGACCATATCGAGCATGAATAACTTCTAGAAATGTGTGTGCAAATGGAGCTCGACGCTTGAGTTCAATGGCAATAACACAAAATAAAATTATTTGTACAGTTGCTCCACTTGCATACCAAAATGGGCCCGAAATTCCATAGGAATAGGCGACTGAACTCGATTGTAAAAGAGTAGCAGCCCATGTCCATGAAGAGACGACAGCCGATGCAATAAGACCTGTTTTTACTGTTCGATGAGCTGTCGAGAAGCCTTCACTTGAATCTGTTGCTTCGCCATGATATCGTTTTAAACAGAAAGTGGCGGCAACCATACCCACAGCGAAGAGCGCTCCGAAACCCACGACAATTCCATATCCATCACCTTGTGTCAGCGGAGAAATTTTTGTTGACATTTTGTTGAAAACAATTTTAATGAAAAATATGTATATTATATAGTGCGTTTCTCCGTTCTGTAGAACAAACAGAATGTGTTATGCTTATTTTTCACTTGATTTTTTTCGCTTATGGTCATGAAAAGAATCGAAAAAAATGTGTAGGCTATTCATCATTACGATGTATTGATAACGAAATAGTATGCAGAAACGATCTATTACAGTCACAATATTTTTTGCTCTACACTTTTCATTTAAATAACTACAATGAATTGTAGAATCACCTGTCATTGCTCAAAATAAAAGGTATTGAACAAAATCGTAGAACGATAAAAAGAAATCCAATATTACTAACGTCAAAATTCGATATCGGTTCTACGAGCTGATCAGTTTCTTTCTAGATAATTCTTACCACTAATTGGACTATTAGCAACAAACTTTAAAAACTTTTTTTGTCAGAAACTTTAGAATAATTTCTCGAATTTCAACATACTATTAAGAATATTTGCGTGAACGCTTAGATCAAATTTTAGTTTATCGAATAGACTCAGAAGTGCAGAACTCGGAGAGTTGGTTCAATGGAACAACAATTCGTTTTTTTTTTCATGCGAATGAGATAGTTAAGAAACATAGAGTATTCAACTCTTTAGCTGCATATATTTATATGCAGATCGATTGTTTATCTACACTTCAAGCCTTGATATCATTCTTGTCTTATGTGAAGTGCTGATGAGATGTCTAAGAATGACTTCAGATAATTTCTTGTAAGCATTGACTTGAAGTAGGAAAGAGTGCACTAGATTCTGAAGTCGTTGATCTATAAGAACAGAACGTTTTGTAATAGGTAGCAGGTAGTTAGTTTCAATATGTCATGGAATATTTAATTCTTGTTTCCAGTCTTTTCTGTGATAATATACAAGGTGTTTTTAATTTCTTTTCATATACGCGAGTATTTTGTCCATCATATGAGTTCATTTGCTTTATTTTAAACGAAAGTAAAAGTATCAAAAATGAAAACTATAATAAATATGTATTAAAATCCTGCAACAACGAGCAAAACACATTGTACTGAACGAATAAAATATTAAAAGAAGTTTCATAGCTGTTACGTAATCGAATTTTTCTTTCAAAATCAGAATATGATCAAAGTTTTGCTAAAAATCACTTAAACTTCCCTACTGCAAATATTTAGATTAGTATTCATGATTGCCTAAACAAAATGAGTTTACTTCAAAAATTCTTGGATAGAAATTTCGAATAATCTTTGATTGAAAAGCTTCTTATTTTTGTTATGACACATGATAAAGATGATTTCAAACAAACATTAAAAAATAACTTAAAATAAGTATATTCTTCGTGAGCGTACATGGCTACTATGCCAACTTCTGGCTGATGTTAAGACCAAAATAGTTTATTTTGAGTATTTTTGTTACTCATAAATCTTTCTACATTGAAATAATTCAAAGCACAAAAATAACTTACTAACGACATGGATTATATATAATAGCGCAGGAAAGAAACCTAAATTAAAAATATGTTACTTAATACAATTTCAAGTTTTCGAACAGAGAAACAGAGAGGTAAAATAATCAAGACTGAATCTATGTTGAAAAAGCATTATTTGTTTTTTACATGAATAATACGAAACGCAATTTACTTCAAACTAGAGATTGAACGTTCGAATCAGAATAAAGTTCTGAGTCGTGTCATATATTATAATCCCAAAGAATTCATTGTCCAATATTGATAATCAAAGTGCATCAGTGAATGTCAAATCTGCTATAGAAAGCATGAGTAATTGGTCCTAGACATCTTACCATATATCCTTGAATAGTTGCTCTAGTTCATTTTTCTCAATCAAATTGCATAATAAAAATAAAACAACACAAAAACAGAGCGAGTAGTGTCAACTGAATTTGATGGCTTTCAAGGTTATGCTCATTTATTGGAAAGTTTTCTAGCTGCTGTTTTCAAATGGTAAGTATTTACTTGCAATCGTTTTTCGACTGTATTAAGTAATTTTTTTTTCTTTTTCTCGATAATTTATTAGAGTAGTTCAAATAATCATTTATTTTTCTGAAAGAACAATTTTTTTACGACACAAAACTAATATTTTCTAAAACAACTAGAACGTGAATGGAGAAAAAAACCAACGCACACTATAATTTGCGCCCACATGCACGCTAGTTTCATTCAAATTGATGGATGTTGTTTCTGTTTGGATTTCCGCTAAGCATACAATCATTTTACTCCATCATATGGCATTGCACGAAACGTTTTTGGTGCTTCGAATTTTTCTACTTTAACTCATTACTCAATGATGTTGAGGTCGTTAATTTTTTATTTTCACAATGTGTAAGTTGAACATACTGCATATGTAGTGGGACAGGCATTACTACTTAGTAGCATGAGCGAATTCAATGGAAACCCTGTATGTAGTCAATCATGTCACAAGTGACAACGATTTAATCTTGGTTGTTCTCCCTATTTCAGTCATATTCAACAAGGAACTTTAATTTTTCTATGTGATAAGTTACACTTAACATGCAGTACAAAGATCATTCAGAATACATACGTTGTTATAACAGAACAGTACAACTTTTAGCTGTCAGCTTTTAACATGGATAGGTTTAGAATATATGATGATTATATTAAATTTAAGTTAAATTTATAAGGATTCTCAGAAAATTGACTTTTGATTCAAAAAAAGATCCTTATTTTCTTATAAATTCGTATTTCAGACTCGAAAAAAGTACAATATCTATTATGAAAATCGATTTCAATCATGAATGTTTCTTGATTAATCCGAAATTTGAGAAAAAAAGTAACGAATTACATGAACACAATCGGATTCTCATTTTGATACAATGAAATTCAAAGCAATAAGATTTCTTCACTCCTATTCATATTCTTTCGATTCGATCATTATCATCTACAGATGACGTAATAATGCCAGCTTATATCTGCTAGGAGTTGCTAAATATCTTTTTTTACTCATTCAACTGATTAATAACGGTAACACATTTTTCGGCGGACACGATCGTACCTGATCTTGCCTCATTCGATGCACATCAAGTATAATGAAATCGGTCAGAGCATAAACTTTGAGCCCACCTTTATCATCATCGACGATTGTCTTTCTTTTCGTGATACAGGTTGTTTCGAAAAGATTGTCGACACTACTGCCAACTTTGAAGGACAAGACTAGCTACCACAGTAGAAGTATTTAGGTATTGCTTGAATCTTAACAGCTGCCATCACAATATCGATATACATAGCTCAGTAATTTTCCACATTCGTCTTTGAACAATAATTGCCCTGTTTGTATAGTTGATAGAATTTTTTTTTGTTTACAATGGAAAACAAGTATATATCTAAGAGAGAAAGAGGGCGTAGTCTGGGTCTAGGTGTGAATGTGAGTGCGGTTTTTGTTTCTTTCTTCATCTTCATTCGTAGTCAAAAAGTCGTCGCTGTGTACAGCAGTATTCAAACTCTCTAAATCAACTTTAATTTCTTCTGAAAACAATTCTTTTCTTTTAATTTGATTTCATATTTGGTGTAACATCAGATGTACTGAGCCGTTGCTCTTCTGAGAACGATTAATCTTCTAATAATCTGTTTAAAGGGTTCCAAAAGTTTCATGCACTTTTTTCAAAAAAAAGGGCATAACGGCCAAATACTCACATACATCATTAAGATCTGTTCATTTTTTTTCTACTTCTTGGATAGTCATATTACCAGAGTTTACAAAAGGTTCTTTCCTAGCCGTCTTCTAACCAAATCCATTACCTTTTCTTAAAAATGAGTGCAATGAATTTCAGAATTCCAATTCCTTCCGTAAGTCTATACAACTCTTCCAATTCACTAAAACATCCGATTTTTTTGTCAGTATCTTCTTTGTTTTTGTCTGTCCTTATACTTCTAAATTTATCCTTTTGCTTGCTGTAATATTAAGATATGGATGTGAGTCATGGTTGAGAGCAGATCATTAAACACACGCATCGCTACATCCCACACGTTTTCAGCAGATTTTTCGTTAGTCATGAGTGAAATTTTAGGAATAGATAGAGTAACAATCAGTTTAGCTATGGTACAAATTTGATGGCAAACAACAATAGTGTTGGAAAAAAATCGAAGAAATAAACTGTGCCGTTAGTTTGAACGAGGAATATATTATGTCGTCTTTCGCTGACTATCAAAATATTTTATGTAGAATAGAGGTTTTTGCCTGACAACAAACAACGCGTATGAGAGAAGAGAAAAGAAAAAACAGAATAACTTTCATTGTATGAGTCACTTTCACCAAACAATAAAATCGAATCTTGATACAGGCAATCGTTGTTAATAGAGCATACGAGTACACTCTTCATCAACAATGTGGAGATCTACAAACAATTGAAACATTCGAGTCTATAATATCTGATTTGGTATGTACGTATTGGTCTTGCCTCAGTAAACGAGTCCATAAAAGTTTTTATCGCCACAAAAGGTTTTTTTTTGCAGATGAAAGTTTGCTCAATACTTGATGATCCTTCAAGAGGAAGTCGTCGCATAATCAGATAGAACTGACATTCATCTTAGCCTCCGTATGATTGCTTTGCAAAAGTGTTTCTTTTTCTTTAAATTTCTTTTACTTGATATCAGTCTTAAGTTTCATATCATATATCAATATTACGTCTCCTTTCGCCAACTATCGCAATATTTAATATCCACTCCTTCAGAGTAAAATTTTTTTGCCTTACATTCGATTTTGATGAGAGTTTCCGCAAGTATTAGATATATAAAATTTTTCCAGCTCTCTCGGTCATGATTCCGAAGCTTTCCAGAGTTGCAGATGAGAAACCATCCTTCCTTATAATATTCTTTTCTTTTAGCACACCTGAAGTTAAAGATATTGATTTTAAACTAGTCATCTAACTGCAAAGTCTTTTCCTAATCCTCTGAAGGTCCACGATGTTCCAAATCTTTTGAAGATCCTTTCAAGTTTTCTGAAGTTTTTTCTTCGATGAAAACAAGTTGTT